GGATTATCACTGGGCCATCAGCCAGGGTCACTAAGAACCCTCTCACAATCACCTAGGCGTCTTTGAGACATTTGAGGATGTCTAGGGCAGAATTGTGTCAGGCTGACAAGAGTGGTTAATTCTGCTTCTGGCTTAGCGTAAGAGAAATGGGTCATTCTGTGTGTGTGTGTGTGTGTGTGTGTGTGTGTGTGTGTGTGTGTATGTTTGTTTTTTGTTTTTTTCTTCTTTTTTTCTTTTTTTTAGACGGAGTATTGCTCTGTTGCCTAGGCTGGAGTGCAGTGGTGCGATCTCGGCTTACTGCAGCCTCTGCCTCCCGGGTTCAAGTGACTCTTCTGCCTCAGCCCCCCAAATAGCTGGGAATACAGGCACTTGCCACCACACATGGCTAATTTTTGCATTTTTAGTAGAGATGGGGTTTCATCATATTGCACAGGCTGGTCTTGAACTCCTGACCTTGTGATCTCCGTACCTCACCCTCACAAAGTGCTGGGATCACAGGCATAAGCCACCACACCCGGCAATTCTATGTTTTTTTCTCCCCTCATACAAGAGATAACTTTGGTTGGTCCCCAGATGAGAGTTTCTCAAGTTTCCGGGTACTTGGATGAAAGCAATAGGTCTGGTGACTCAAACAGATAAAGCAATTGTTTTCATTTTATATGGCCATTCAAAAAAACAGATGAAGCAGTCATGGTCCCTACTATCCAGGAACATTTTGTCTAGACTAACAACTGGATACATGTGTGAATTAAGCATTATATGGTTGATACAATGAATAGATGTGTCCAAAAGAAATTTGGGCCACTCTTTTATATTGTTACTTCTGATATCTTCACCTGAAGGGATATTTATGGAGTGAAAGATTTGTTATTATTTGTTTTCTTTTACTTTGCTAAGAATATGTATTTATCTTCTAATATAATTATTCTAAAGAACTTTAAGACATTTGTTTAAATTGCTTATTAGTATATGTTATAAAATTGACAGGGCAGTGGCAAAAATAGATTAAAGTTACATAAGCTCTGGGATTTAAGATTTTCTTAGGTAAGCTTAGGAAAAACAGAACTGGAAATACCTTGGTGGCAGAGAGAACAGAATTCTACATAGGGTCCTTTCCCTGCCCAAATTCTGTTCAGATTCATCCTTTTTGGAGGCCTTATTTATGTCTGGCCCCACTCCAGAGCCTTGCCTCACAAAACTGATTTATAAAAATCAGAGTTTTGGCCGGGTGTGGTGGCTCACACCTGTAATCCCAGCACTTTGGGAGGCCGAGGCAGGCAGATCATGAGGTCAGGTGTTCGAGACCAGCTTGACTAACATGGTGAAACCTCGTCTCTACTAAAAATACAAAACTTAGCTGGGCGTGGTGGCACATGCCTGTAATACCAGCTGCTCAGGAGGCTGAGGCAGGAGAATCACTTGAACCTGGGAGGCGGAGGTTGCAGTGAGCCAAGATTGTGCCACTGTACTCCAGCCTGGCGACAGAGCGAGACTCTGTTAAAAAAAAAAAAAAAAGGTTGGAGTTTTGTCTGGTGAATCTTGCTGCCTTTCTAGAGCTGGTGCTCACAATTTTCTGAAACCCAAAAACAGATAAATAAGAGAAATAAACTATTTATTTTAGGCTCTTATTTTTTAAATTTTATATTGAAACTAGTGCTTACAGAAGCATTCCATTTAGTGACTTGTTTTCTATTTCTGCCAATGTAGCAGTTGCTCCACAAGCCACAAACAAGAAAATATATACACAATAAAAATTTATTTAAACTACATTAAACTTTTTCTATGTTCTTCTCATTTGCCTATATTTAGCTTTTATTCTATACATTTAAAACAAAATCCATGACAGAGAAACAGAGGAAGAAATAAAAATGCTGAACCCTTTATCTAAATCCTGGGAATTATTGAACACTTAGTGTCAACTTTCAGGGTGTTATTAGGATTAAATCACATAATGTGTTATGCCCAGTATAATGTAATATACTCTAAAGCCCGTAGTACCTGCTTAATAAACATTGCATTAGTATGTGTGTACATGTTATTTTCCAAAGGCAGATTTATTCAGACATTGCTGCCTTCTGTTTGTTCTGTAAACTTTAAACAGCCAGCAAAGAATATAAAACTTTAAGATGGAGATTGGTTTTATTTGTACCAGAAGTATTTGTGTTGTGACAAGAGTGCTGAGTGTAAGGGACTCTGTGCTATGTCTGCTTCTCTCACTAGTGCTAATAATGAGCCCGGCGGGAACAACATCAGCATTGACAGGGAACTCGTTTGAAACACCCATTCATGGACCCTTTTCAGACTTGCATATTCACATTACATAGAGTGGGGCCAAAATTACCAAGCGAGTTTTAAGCTCTTTAAAGTTTGAGAGGCAATGCTTAGCTAAGTGGTTATCAGCCTCGTCTTTTTGTTTGTTTGTTTTGTTTTGTTTTTGTTTTTGAAACAGGCTCTCACTCTGTCACCCAGTCTGGAGTGCAATGGCATAATCTCGGCTCACTGCAACCTCTGCCTCCCGGGTTCAAGCCATTCTCATGCCTCAGCCTCCTGAGTAGCTGGGATTACAGGCACTCGCCATCATTCCTGGCTAATTTTTTGTTTTTAGTAGAGATAAGGTTACATCATGTGGGCCAGGCTGATCTTGAACTCCTGACCTCAGGTGATCCATGTGCCTCGGCCTCCCAGAGTGCCAGGATTACTGGTGTGAGTCAGTGCACCTGGCCTCTGCCCAGTCTTCTAATTAGGATTACATGGCAGAAATCTCTGTACTTATGCCCTTTCCACGGATTTTGTTTATTGTTCTGGGTGGAAGCATCCATGTTGTTTTAATGAAGTGCCTCATGTGACTCTAAGGTGAGGTCAGAATCAAGTATGAGGACTTCAATATACATTCATGAGAGCTAAGTGCCACCTTTGTACTAAAGAGTGGTCACAGAGCTTGTTCTGTTTGGGTTTGGTAGGAACGGGAGTGTGGCTCATATTTCCATTACTGTAGCAGAAATTGCTGGTGTCTGTGGCAGGGGAGGGCACCGGAGGACAGGAAAAGAGAAACATACTTTTATATTCATAGAGCACCTCATTGTTCCTGAATCTCTTCTATTATAAAGGACAGAGAAATGGGTGGACTTTTTCTGCAGGATTTTCCTTCTGTTTGTGCGCATGATGGCAGCAGACAAAAAGGTGGTGCTGGCATTTTTAAATGAATATTCTCAAGATGCAGGTGTAACTTGTCCAGAGAATGTTATCTTAAAAGGATTTTCAGAGAAGGAGAGAAAAAAATGGCCTTTTTTCAGCTAAACATGTCTCAGATGAAGAGCTGTGTGCACTCTGCTTCATGGAATGCCATGCGTTTAGTACTTGCAAACCTTTACTTCCCTACTTGTGTTTTTCCTCCCTAAGGAGTTTGTTTTAACTACATTTTAAAATTCTTATAATATTCAAGGCTTTCTGCAGAACAGTTCCCTTCTATATACCAGAGCTTTCTCTGCATTCTCTACATCATGGCTTCTTATATGCCATGCAGAATTCCTACCATGAATTTATAATCGGCACTATTAAAAATGTTCCCTTTGTGGCTGTTAAAATGGGGAGATGTAAATACTCAAGATTCCTATTGGGGGAAAGCTGGGGTCCCTAGTAAAGATGGAGAACATGTAATGTTGAGGTTTCATCTGTTTTCTCTATTAACTCTATGCAGAACAGGATTAAGAAAATCCTTATTTAAACAGAATACCATTTATTACCCAGAAAGTTCTGAAAAAAATTATTAGGAGATATCTGCTCTCTACGGTGCTAAAAAAGACTACTTAAAATCACTATTAAAAATAACAGAACATGGGAGATATCTGTATCTTGAACTTTGTATAAAACTATGTATCGTTATAGTTACATTCAGACTATAATTTACTGTTTGAGGGGCAATATCTTAGCAGTGATGCCATGTTCTTCTATGTGCATCAGCACATCATAAAAATTTGTTGGCTGGATGTGGTGGCTCACACTTGTAATCCCAGCACTTTGGGAGGCCGAGGTGGGTGGATCACCAGAGGTCGGGAGTTTGATACCAGCCTGACCAACATGGAGAAACCCCGTCTCTACTAAAAATACAAAATTAGCTGGGCATGGTGGTGCATGCCTGTAATCCCAGCCACTTGGGAGGCTGAGGCAGCAGAATCACTTGAATCCAGGAGGTGGAGGTTGCAGTGAGCTAAGATGGTGTCATTGCACTCTAGTCTGGGCAACAAGAGCAAAACTCCGTCTCAAAGAAAAAAAAAAGAAGAAAGAAATTTAGAAATTCAGACTTTACTCCAGAGCTTCCGAAGAAAAAAAATCTGCACAACAGGATCTCCAGTTTATTGTTCACCTTTAAAGTTGACAGGTACCTTCTAACTCAACATGTCTCTTTTGTTTGAAAAATAAACACAACTCAAATTTTATGATGTAAATATAGCAGTCAAAGTGTACAAATTTTTGTTTATGCCCTTAATTTTATACTTCTCATCCACAGAAGTATCTCACATACACCGGTGTTATGGATCTTATGCCATTATCTTCTCTCAGAGTTCGAGAAAACATTAGATAATATTTATGTGTTAAAAATGATTGGGGCCAGGCATGGTGGCTCACGCCTGTAATCCCAGCATTTTGGGAGGCCAGGGTGGGTGGATCACCTGAGGTTGGGAGTTAGAGACCAGCCTGACCAACATGGAGAAACCCTGTCTTTACTAAAAATACAAAATTAGCCAGATGTGGTGGTGCATGCCTGTAATCCCAGCTTTTCAGCAGGCTGAGGCAGGAGAATCGCTTGAAGCCAGCATGCGGAGGTTGCCTCTGTCTCAAAAAAAAAAAAAAAAAAAAAAAAAATATTAGATGATTTCAGCTATTCCTGTAAGTGAGAAGCAATTCTCTTTATTCTCTCATTTCACTTTAATTCAAATAATAAATTCTGCCCATGGCCACTTGGTAAATATATGTGTGTCTTGTGTGCTTGTGTTTTTCAGGGGCCATTGACATTTAGGGATGTGGCCATAGAATTCTCTCTGGAGGAGTGGCAGTGCCTGGACACTGCTCAGCAGGATTTGTATAGGAAAGTGATGTTAGAGAACTACAGAAACCTGGTCTTCTTGGGTGAGAATAACTTTAGTACACAATTACTAATATACCCTAAAAGTTTCATTTCTCTTTTCTTCATAGAATAATTTTTGGTAATTTATGCTTTGCATAAATGAGTTTCTGATACTTGTTCTTAAGAAAATCTTGAGGATTTATCCATGTAGAAAAGAATTTTTTCAGGATGTTTTATCTTGACTTAAACTTTCCACATTCCTGGGCTGATCTGTATCCTTCACTTTAGATTAGTGGCAATTCCAGAAATTTAGTGGCATAAAATATTGTTGCCCATATCTTAAAATCTATTTGCCACCACCAATTTTTGATTAATGAATACCAGGTAGTGAAATTAAGAACCTACAAATGTAAAATGTTTTCTAAATACTTAGAAATTTCTGTTATAAATTAGTATTTTAGGATTAATTTTCTAGAATATTCTAATACATCCTCTTTACTAAGCACGGTACTAGGTTGGTAACTGAAGAATATGAGAAAGATTCATGTTATTTATTTTTAATAAAGCAGGTATTGCTGTTTCTAACCCAGACCTGATCACCTGTCTAGAGCAAGGAAAAGAGCCCTGGAACATGAAGAGACATGTGATGGCAGATGAACCCCCAGGTAGGTGAGAATGACACAACAGATGACATGAATGAGAGGTCCAAAAAAAAAAAAAAGAAAGCCAATGCTTAAAATGTTATTTGAGAAGCTGTGTTCCAAAGCAAATATTTTCTGGGAAGCCTGAGTGTTTTTTTTTTTTTTTTAATTTTTCTCTGGCATAGGGGCATCTTCTGTCTTATGCTTTTAAATTCTTTAAGGATTCTTTCCCTTTGGTGATCTCCCTTCAAGTCTGCCGTCAGAACCAAAGTCCTCTTCATGGCATACGAGATTCACAATCTGACTGCTTTTCCATTGTTTTTGGGGACACACAAATATCTACATGATTTTGAGAAACTCTATGTTAAACTATTTTCTTTTCTTTTCTTTTTTTCTTTTTTTTTTGACGCTGAGTTTCACGCTTGTTGCCCAGGCTGACGTGCAATGGTGCAATCTAGGCTCACTGCAACCTCCGCCTCCTGGGTTCAAGCAATTCTCCTGCCTCAGCCTCCCGAGTAGGTGGAATTACAGGCACCCGCCGCCATGCCCAGCTAATTTTTTTGTATTTTTACTAGACACAGGGTTTCACCATGTTGGGCAGGCTGGTCTCGAACTCGTGACCTCAAGCAATCTGCCCGCCTTGGCCTCCCAAAGTACTAGGTTTACAGGTGTGAGCCACTGCACCTGGCCAAACTATTTTCTTAGTTCTCTTTTTGTATCATGTTTGAAATGTGTAAGAGGTAGTGGTTTCTGTTCCATTGTTTGTTGTTGTTGTTAACTTTTCTGCACATTCTATTCTGTTCTTATTACTATATTCTTGATATATAGTTTGAAATTATAAAGTGTGATGTCTTTCTACTTTGTTCTTTTTCCTCACGATTGCTTTGGCTATTTGAAGTTTATTGTAGTTTCTTAGAAATTTTAGAATTGTATTTTCCATCACTGCGAAGAAAAATGCCACTGAAATTTTGATAGGGAATTTATTGAATCTATAGATTACTTAGATAATAGGACACTTTAGGCCGGGCACGGTGGCTCAAGCCTGTAATCCCAGCACTTTGGGAGGCCGAAACGGGTGGATCACGAGGTCAGGAGATCGAGACCATCCTGGCTAACACGGTGAGACCCCATCTCTACTAAAAAAATACAAAAACTAGCCGGGCGAAGTGGCAGGCGCCTGTAGTCCCAGCTACTTGGGAGGCTGAGACAGGAGAATGGCGTGAACCTGGGAGGCGGAGCTTGCAGTGAGCTGAGATCCGGCCACTGCACTCCAGCCTGGCCGACAGAGTGAGACTCCGTCTCAAAAAAAAAAAAAAAAAGATAATAGGACACTTTAACAATATTTATTTTTTCAATCTGTAGACATGCAATATTTTTAAATTTGTGTCTTCTCTAATTTCTTGTATTAATAACATATCTTTCCTTGTAAAGATTTTTTACTTCCTTGGTTAAATTTGTTCTCAGAAATTTATTATCTTAATGCTATTTTAAATTGTTTTCTTTCTCTGTTAGATAGTTTGTTTTAAGTGTATGGAACAATAACTTAATACTTGTATGTTAATTTTATGTTTTGCTAATTTACTGAGTGTATTTATTAATTCAGACAAATTTCAATGTAGTGTTCATGGTTTTTTTATATATAAAATCATATGATCCACAAACAGCAACTTTTTACTTACTTGTCTTCAATTTCAATGACTTTTTAAAAATGTTTTTGACTCATTATTCTGCCAAATACTTCCAGTGCTACGTTAAAATAGAAGCATTGACAATGGGCACAATATTGTTTTGCATTAGTGTCTGTGAATTTGAAGGAGCAAACAACTCCTCAAGCTTCTGTAAACTGGTTTCAGTAGGTAAAGATCTTTTTCTGTTATGTCTCCAGGGTCATAGAATGCTGTCCGGGTTTGTAGTAGAGAGGGGGTGTAGCTTGGTCACAAGGCTGCTGGGACTGCACTAGGGTCTACCTTTAGTTGGCTTGTTACAGGGGCTTGGGTAGCTGTAATCCCCATTTTATTTTTGGACAGACTGAATATTCTTCAGGACTTTCATCTGTAGAGCAGACAGTAGGGCAGGTTTCTGCAGTCAGGCTCATATATAATGGCCCTTATATCGGGATGTGAATGAGTATGGCTTTTATTGAGTACCAGAGAGGATTACTGTAGTTAATGCAGACAAATTCTTTTGTAATGGTATATCAGTGTTGCACAGCAGATTCTATGAGTAAATATGTCACTTATTATTGTGCAGTTTCAGTGTTTTGTTAATGTAGGTTTCTTAACATCGAGTTATTGTGTTTTTTTTGTTTCACTTTTGTATTATAATTTTGGACAGCTTGCAATTCGGTTTATCTCTTGTAATTAAGAGATAAATCAGCCATATGTCTGCCACAATTAGATATATATGTGTGTCTGTTTATCTATAAATATGACCCCAATATTGGTTATGGCTTATCTTGTATTTGTTCTTTCTTAACTAATTTTCAGTGGTTTTATCTCATCTAAGTGAGTAGTCATGGAAATATTTTCGCCATCTCTTATTTTCACCATGTGTTTAATGATGGTGTTTCTCTCACCTTTGTGTACTTTTATAATTTGAAGGTAATTTTTGAAAAGATTTATAAAACTATTTTTTTCAGTTTTTCCTTTAGAAAAATTAATTGTTGTAAAAACACATAATATTTACCATCTTAAATCTATTTAAGTGTACATTTTAGGGCCAGACATGGTGGTGGCTCACATCTGTAATCCAGGATTATTTGAGCTCAAAAGTTTGAGACCAGTCTGGGAAAATATGGACATATGTTTTTCAAGATGTTTTTTAAAAATAGCCAGGCATGGTGTTGTGCATCTGTGGTTCAGGCTAGTGGCAAGATTGAGGTGGAAGGGTTACTTGAGCCTCAGAGTTTGAGGCTCAAGTGAGCCATAATTGTACCACCACACTCTAGCTTTTTGACAGAGTGAGACTCTGTCTCCAAAAAAGAAAAAAAAACACAACTCTACATTTCAGGCAGTCATGTTAATTATATTCACATTGTTATACAAAAGACTTTTAGATATTTACATTTTGTGAAACTAAAACTCAATACCATTAAATAACAACAACCCATTTTACCCTCTTTCCAGCCCTTGACAAACACCCTTCCTCTTTCTGTTTTTATGAGTGTGACTAATTAAGATATCTCATATAAGTGGAATCACACTGTAGCCATCATTTCGTTACTGGCTTTTTTCAGGTGACATAATATTCTCAAAGTTTATCTTAAAATGTGACAAGATTTTCTTTTTTTTCTTTTTTTATTTTTTATTTTTGAGACGGAGTCTCCTGTCACCCAGGCTGGAGTGCAATGACGCAATCTCGGCTCACTGCAACCTCTGCTTCCTGGGTTCAAGCAATTCTCCTGCCTCAGCCTCCCGAGTAACTGGGACTACAGGCGTGTGCCACCATGCCCAGCTAATTTTTTGTATTTTTAGTAGAGACAGAGTTTCACCATGTTGGCCAGGCTGGTCTCGAGCTCCTGACCCTCAGGTGATCTGCCAACCTCGGCCTCCCAAAGTGCTAGGATTACAGGTGTGAGTCACACCGCTTGGCAAGATTTTCTTTTTTAAGACTGAATAATATTTCACTGTACACATGTTACATTTTTGATGTGTTTATAAATCAAGAGACAACTGGGTTGCTTCAGCCTTTTAGCTTCTGTGAATACTAGTACAATAAACATAGATGTTCAAATACGTCTTCCAGGTCATGTGTTACATATTTTAAATTGCTAAACAGGATTGCTGTATTTGATGATAATTCCATTTTTAATTATTTGAGAAACATTTATAACATTCAAAAATAATGACTGCATCTTTGTTTTCTACCAACAATCAACGTAAGTTTTATTTTCATTGCATCATCAACAGATTTGGTGTTTTTAAATAATTTATAGTGGTCATTGTAGTGGGTATGACATGATTTCATTTTTCATTGTTTTTTTATGTGTTTCTCTACAAATTACTAATTTTGCATGTCATTTCAAATGCTTTTTTCATTTGTGTATCTTTTATGATAAAAATTTAGTTCAGTTGTTAATTTTCAAATCAAGTTATTTAACTTATTCAGTTTTAAGAGTTTTATATATATTTGAATATTAACTATCACATGTAATATGGAAATATTCTTATCCATTTGCTAGAAGGCATTTTCACTCAGTTAAATGTTTTGTTTTAATGTGCAGAAATTTTGAAGTATAGTATAATTTTTTTTGTTGTTGCTCATGCATTTAGTGTCTTATCTAAGAAAATGGTGCCAAGACCAATGTCCTGTTTTCTTTTTATTTTTTTCTAAGAGACTTACTAGTTTTTTTATGTCTAAGTATTTTACTTAAAATGTTTTTGTATATGGTTCAAAGAAACAATCCAACCTTATTTTATCAGTATTGATATTTAGTTTTTAACATTAGTTTTTGAAAAGATTATTGTTTACTCTTGGCAGCTTTGTAGATCATTTGATTATTTACAAAAGGTTTCATTTCTGGGCTCTGTATTCTATTCTTTCATCTGTTTATCTGCCTTTGTGTCAATATTACACTGTTTTTGTTACTGTAGCTTTTAATTTTTTATTGTTATTATTTTTGAGATGGAATCTGGCTCTGTCACCCAGGCTGGAGTGCAGTGGCTCAGTCAGCTCACTGCAGCCTCCTCCTCCTGGATTTCAGCACTTCTTCTGCCTCAGCCCCCCGAGTAGCTGAGATTACAGGTGTGCGCCACCATGCGTGGCTAATTTTTGTATTTTAGCAGAGACAGCGTTTCACAGTGTTGACCAGGCTGGTCTCGATCTCCTGAGCTTAGGTGATCCATCCACCTTGGCCTCACAAAGTGCTGGGATTACAGGCGTGAGCCACTGCACCTTGCCTAATATGTTTAAAAATCAGGAAGTTTAATGCCTGTTTATTCTTTTTCATGGGTGTTTGGCTATAGTTCATAATCAAATTTTAAAATTTTAAACAATATTTGTGTAATAAAAGTGTGCTATTGTGA